CAAAAGGAAAAATATTGTATGAGACCACTACTGTAAAAACTCATGAAAAGGCTTACACACAAAAAGAAGCAATCTTTGATGGTTACAAGGGAGAGGAGGGGTGGGGATGGAAAACCACTAAATAGACAATGGATAAGTGGTAACTTTGGTGAAGGTTAAGACCGTACACGATACTGGGGAAGCCAGCACAACTTGTCCAAAGCAAGGTCTTGGAAGCTCCATGGACACATCCAAACTCCCTGAGGGACGAAATTACTAGGCAGAGGGCTGTGGGGACCATGGTCTCAGTGAACATATAACTTAGTTGGCATAAAGTAATTTATAAAGAAAATGTTCTACGTTGGTGAGTAGCATCTGCGGTCTTAAAAGCCTGTGAGCGGCCATCTAAGATACTCCACTGGTCTCACTCTGTCGGGGGCAATGGAGAATTAAGAAAATCAAAGACACAAGGGAAAGATTAGTCCAAAGAACTAATGGACCACAACCTACCACTGCCTCCACCAGACTGAGGTCAGCACAATTAGATGGTGCCTGGCTACCACCACTGACTGTTCTGACAGGGATCACAATAGAGAGTCCTGGACAGAGCTGGAGAAAATGTAGATCAAAAGTTAACCCACAAAAAAAGACCAGACTTACTGGCCTGACAGAGACTGGAGAAACCACAAGAGTATGGCCCCTGGACACCCTCTTAGTTCAGTAATGAAGTCACTCCCGAGGTTCACCCTTCAGCCAAAGATTAGACAGGCCCATAAAACAAAACGAGATTAAAGGGGCACACCAGCCTAGGGGCAACAACTAGAAAGCAGGAGGTGACAGGAAAGCTGGTAATAGGGAACCCAAGGATGAGAAGGGACAGTGTTGACATGCCATGGGGTTGTTAACCATTGTCATAAAACAGTATGTGTATTAACTGTTTAATGAGAAACTATTTGTTCTGTAAACCTTCATCTAAAGTACAATAATAAAAGAAATAATAATTTAAAAAAACACTTCTATATACCTGTAAATTTAAAAAATTTACAGGGCAAACTGGAAAGAAATCTGCATAAACATGGCAAAGGGCTAATGTATTTATTATATAAAGAGCTTCATTCATGAGAAAAACACTAAGATTCCACTAACAAATGAACAAAGCACAAAAACAAAAGGAAATTGAAACATCTAGCAAAAGTCTTAATAATCAAATAAGTGCAAAGTAAAACAACATGCATATTCTATTAATCTGGAGAATTTTCTTTTTAAATGGTAATAGTTATACAGTATTATTGAATACATGAAATAAGAGGACTCATACTATTTAATCCAGTAGTTTTCACTTCTGGGATTCTAGTAAAAGAAATAATCCTAAATATTAGAAAAGACTTAAACAGAAGATGTCTATCATTCCTTATAATAAGAAAATACAGTAAATACAGTAAAACACAAGATATATCCATTAAAATAATGCAGTGGAATAAAGTATCCAAACACTGGGACTATTTCCAAAAAAATGTTTTAATGAACATATCTTTTGATGTAGAATAATCTGCTACAATGCAAAGCAAGCAGTAACATGAATAACTGGTCACGTGGACAGCCTAATTCATGGAATCCCGAAAGATGACAAGGATCAGAACAAAGACGTTAAAAATGACCATCAGAGGCTATTTTATGTTGTGAAAAATCTCAACTTCAAAGGACAAAGGTTATTTCATAACGAGAAGAGGATATTCCAGAGGATATTCCACTGAAGAAGGGCATAAAAGATCAAGAAGATGACACTGATTTTTTCCCAATAGAACTGCTGTATCATTTACTACTTCAATTCCTAAGATTCCTATATGCAGATCCACAGATTTCAAATAAATAAAATTTGTACGTCTTTATTTGCCACTGCATGATGCTTTGAGGTTATTTTTAAAGAAATAAGTATATATTGAATATCTGGTTTCTACTACAAGGTCTAATGAGAACATAGATTCACCCTGAATCCCTTTTAAAACAAGGCAGAATTAAATGATGTACGTTACAATCACAACTATTTAAGAAAAATTTGTCCATGATGAGAGAAAAAGTCACAAAATTAATAGTTCATTCATTAAAAAAAATAGATTGAACACCCGTTACATACCAGGCCCTGTGCTCTACACCGGGAGACAGAAATTGGGAACACAACACTCATGGTCGCTACCCTCCTGGAGCTTAGAGTCAGGTAGAGAGGAGAAAGAGAATATTGAAGTATACACATGCCTCTCCACACTCCACTTTATTTCCTCATAAACCATTGACCATTCTCATCAATGTTCACTTTAAATAATATTCATTTAAAATGACCAGGATTTTCTCACATTTGAAGACAAATAACCTAAACTGTTTGCTATTTATCAGGCTCATGTCCAATTCTAACATCCAGAGGTAAAAAACAGAAAGCTCTCTATTAATTGACTCATTTTTAGAAAAAGATTTCTAGAGAAGATCAGGACAATAGTTTTATCATTTGCCTAATGGAGCCATCATAACTTTTCAATTGCCAAGGCAGACTTCAGCACTGGCAGTAAATAGAGCTGCCATAAAGAATCTACACACATTCAGAATAAACCAGAATAAAAACACTGACAACATACAGATGTGAGTAGTAATTATAATTAACCCTTTCTAAAAGAGAAGGTGTATGTAATAGTACATAATAGAGTAACAATTTGAGTCTTTTTTTTCCTTTTTACTCAAAACATAAAGCAGAGATACTACTTTATCCTATGTTAACATGCAACTTTAAAAAGGTAATTTACATATTAGATATAGAAATTCACCAGCAAAATCTTGTCATTTCCCCCCTCAAACATACCTTGACATTATTCCTCTATTTCCTTACCAGTAAGTTTACGAAAGAAGGTCCTATTACTGGTCACCTCAATGGCTTGTATTTCTGGAGCTTGACATTTCAGTCAATTATGGACACAAAAACACTATCACAAAGTACCCTATCTGCAAAGCAGCTGACTGCACTGCTTTACCAATGGAGAGGTACCCACTCCAACCTGTCACTTTCTTCCTCCCTCAGCACAAACGTAAATATCCTCCAACCATCCATGAAGTTGTCTTGTCAAGAAGGCCCTGAAACATTATTTCTCTAGGTACCTAACACATCAACACTGAAGAAACACAAAAGCACCTAAGTGCTCTAAGGTGCACGCTTTTGGGAAAATTACCGGCATGTGAAATTTTCCTGGGATACGGAGAAACACAGGTTCATAAAATAAAAAAAGACAAAATTTCCGCCTCTTCTTACATGCAAAGATCGATTCAAAACCTCTCATTGTATTAGAAATTGCAATACAAAAAACCCAAAAATTTTCAAAAGGTTTTCTAATTTGTTTATTGTACTAAATGAGGCTTGAATTATGTTAATGTACAGAGTTTAATTTTGGGGGGGGTTTATACAAAGAGAATTATTGGAACATGATTTAAGTTTCTCTAGGAAAATATAAGAAAGATTAATATTTACAAGAAGAATATACCTTATTTAAAATCAATAAGATTAGTAAAATGTACCTTAACTACAAATTAAAATAATTAGTATACCTTTTTCTCAACTCTCGCAACCAAAAGGGAGTTCCTGGGTGGTGCAAACAGTTAAACACTTGGCTGCTACAGGTTCAATCCCGCCCAGAGGCACCTCGGAAGAAAGGCTTGGTGATCCACTTCTGAAAAATCAATCAATGAAAACCCTATGGAGCACATTCTACTGCGACACACATGAGGTTGCCATGAGTTGGAATCCACTCGACAGCAACCGGTAACTGACAGCAACCGAGAGAGGCAACAATAATCAGAGAAATTCTGTGTATCACCAATGTGAGGAGTTTGGGAAAAGGGGATAATATACATTATAACTAAAAGCATTTAAACTTTTCACCTTCCATGCAAGATGATTTATAATATGAACACAATTGCATAACACTGAAAATACACTCAAGTCTCTGCCCCGAGAGTTTACAGTTACTCCCTATGGTCAGTGAAAAAAAAACTGCATAAATGAAAAATAAGTTTCTATCAAATATTTTGGTTTGTAAGTAGAATCTAAACGAAGAGGAAGGATTATGGCATATACACACAAATGAAATGGCTCAAGATCTAAATGATGTGACACAATTGCTAAATACTAAGAATGTGGAGAATTAACAGGCTACTTTTAACACAAGCAGCAACTTTTATTAAAGTTTGCAAATACAAATACACAGTATAATTTTCTGTGTGTTTATAAAACTATTAAAAAAACAAAACAAAACAGGAATAGAGTTCAGTTTTCTAGTCTCTGCCTTAACTAATGCCAGGATCATGGAATATTTGTATTAGGAAAGGGAACAAACTGGTTTCGCTCATGCTTTCTTAAACTATGGTTTGAGGGTTATTGATGGATACCTTCAGTTTCAAGGCTTTTTATTCAAATAAAGCACAAGCTGTGATTTAGAAACCCTCAGGGATGTGTCAGTAAGCCAAGCACATACAATACTATAGAAAACACATATAATTTATTAGATGGACTTACAAATGATCACAAACAATTTTAGGCACTTCTTGAGTACAGACTATAGGAATTTTCTACCAAAGAACAGTATATCTAGCAGGCAACATGATAAAGATTTAAAGTTTAGTTTTTAGAACAATACACAAGGGCTAGACAATTTTTAAGAAATATTGCATAACTATCCCAGCTGCATTCTGTTACATGTCTTCACAACTCCACACATAATTTTAGCAATTAGCAGTCACTTTTTAGCATCCAAAGGTTTAAATTCTAGCTTTCTTTCCATTACTCCACCATCACAGTCTTAAAATAATCTATTATACGTTGTTTGAGGGAGCACGATACAGAAATTTTATTTCTGTATAAGTAGAGCTTTAAAGAGTATTTTCCATACTACTGTCACATCTACAAAAAGTCAACACATGATGGTTGATTATTCTGATGTCTTTTAAAGCCCATTTGTAAAGACAGGCTCCTCACTACTTATTCCTTCAGACATCTAACGCTTATTTTTGTTAAGTAAACATGAGAGGGAAAAATGGAATGTGGGCAATGGTTTCTAGGATTTCTTTAGGTCAAACACAACATATAAATACGGTTTGGCATCTTTTTATGAACCTAAATTATTCACACTGATATTCTTCAAAACACAGCCCATTCTTGGTACTGGGAAGATAATACACATATAACTTAATCCCCTCTGTGCAGAGTCTAGGTGGTTTTCTTATCTTTCTGGATCTACTTCTCAGCAGATGAAGGTAAAATTAAGAAACATTAAAATGCCAAATACAGTATAATTTAAATGATTAGGTAGGACTACTGGCATCTATATGCTGTACAGGCAGCAAACAGGCCTTTTGATGGACTCAGTAACTTTAACAATGCTCTCTAATGAACAAAGCCCAAATCAGTGAATCAAGCCAGTGGTGGGGGGATAGCAAGGATGTGAAGAACCTACTTAGAAACTAGTGGGTTGAGGAAGAATGGGTATAGGCAGAATTTAGAATACCTGCAGACTGAGATAACATCTTCATTGATGATGAATGAAGACATAGGAGAGTAAGGGATAGCTGAGGTATGGGAAAGCCAACCCTGATGCAAGAAAAGGAGTTCCATACTGTATTTGGATAGCGGGAGGGGTCAAAGTTAAGTCATACAAAGAAAGCTTGTCTCTACCCAGCCCTGGAAGAGGGACTGATACCAGCATATCACTGGGTAATTGAGAGAAGATGACCCCAAATTCGACAAATAATTTACAATGTGTTGCTATTCCCCTATACAGAAAGTACAGCATACTAGAGAGATATTCTAAAAAATGCCTGCAGAGCAAATGAGAAAGTTGTTTACAGTTTTTCTATTTACACTAATATAAACAGATTTTGAGGTTGTCTGTACTGTATGTGGTTGCTGTAGTCACAGCAAAAATGTAAAGTGCCTGTAATAGAGGGGACAACGAGTCCCGCTTCTAGGCATCTTAATACTATACACTCAGACAAAAAGGAAAAAAAAAATCTCACGGACATTATGCCTTTCCTCAAGCTCCCTGCACTTCTCTGTAATCCCACTGTAACTACCTACTAGGCACTTCTCAAAGGCCAGAAAACAGAAACCCTTCTTCCCTCTATTTAATATCATACTTCTAAAATCACTTTAACTGCACTATAAATGCCATCGGTCAGTGCTAAAGCATTTTGTATTCTTAAGGCAAAATGTCATATAAGAAAATGAATTCCCCACCCACTTTCCCCTCTCCCCAAACCCATCTGCCTTTATTGTATTCTTTGTCATGAGGGTCAAGATATGCTAGAAAGTTAAAAAGAACAGAAAATTTCAAGTAAGAGCCCTCGATATAATATGTAAGATATACTTTATAAATGCTATTATGACAAATTAAATATATTTAAATGCTTGTAGCATATGGTTACTTTCATCTAGATATCAAGAGAAGTTTTACTACTTTTAAAATCAGTATCAAAAACAGAATATTTAAATCCAGCCACATGTACAGAGGTACGAAGCTTTGTTCTTCTCAAAGACGTGAAAAATGACTCTAAATATGTTTGTTTTACACATAAAAGTAGCATATTAAATAACCAAAAGCACTGCCCTTTAATTAATTCCACTTATACTACATATAAATTGCCAGTATGACTACTCATGAGGTTCTCTGAAGCCGAGCGCTAACTATTGCGCAACCAGGTCTCCTCTATTTGGAAGTTAATACTGTCAAAATGATTGACATTTTCATACTTGAATTTAAATCTTTTTTTTCTTCTCCAGCTATAATTTCTGTTTTATATACAAGTAAACCACAGGTACCACCTTATTTCTAATGCCTAGCCTAGAAGGGTAGAAAATAATGGCAACAACAAAAAAATTAAGTTTTGTAAATGTGGTGTAAGATTCCATGCATTCTTATGATGTTCTATCGATAATCTACCACACTAAGCAACAGTAACATATTGCATGCTTTAAATATCCAATTAAGAATAAATTTAAGCCAACACCTTGATGACAAGGGAATGTCCTATCTTGCTGAACTGATGGGGCAGCAACCCAAGGGACTTAACACGATTACTCAAATTAAAAGACAAAAGGATGAAATGTGCACATTTGCTGGGCTACTTTACAGAATAGTTGTCTGATGAAACTGCAACATTTACAAGATAAATCTGGGTTTTTACAGGAATTTAAAATATATAACAAGTAATTTTAATGGTGATTTGAAAAAGCTTGAAAACATATGAATAAATAAAGCTTAGTAAGTTAGGATTTACTTTCATAAAAGCGTTTTGACAAATACTAAAAGATTATACTTGTGTCTTAAGCATTACAATATAAAACACAAAACATCCAATATTAGATACTAATCTCCCATGCCTGACTTGGATTTAGATACTGAGTATTTTATATTTTACTGAAATGAACTTTCAAAGTTTTGTCAATGTTTAGAGTATATACTACCACTTCCCACTGAAATCTTTATGAAATCTAAAAGGCTGTTATTAAAAGCAGTCATTTTTTCTTCTTGAATATTCTAAAACATGCCAATTTTGATTAGTTGTCAGATTTTCAGGATATAAAAGTTACAAATAGAATACCCAAGAAAATGTTTTAACACATTAAGGATAAGTTTGTGAACAGTAATGATAGAAACACCTTCAACTTTCTAATCTTGGGGAAAAAAAAAAAAATCTTAAGCAAACATAAAAGGTATAATGGGCCAAGTTACTTTAGCAAAAATAATACATCACATCAATCAATTTTTAAACCGAATTCTTAAAAGCAATGAACAAACATGTGTCTTCTAATTGTCAAACCATGTTTTCATGTGGTGGAAGAAGAATACAACACAACTAATGGAAATAAAAAATCTCAAACTAAAATAAGAAACTTACAAAATAAGAAATTATAGTTGTTGCTTGGAAAATAGTCTCTCCTTTTAATCTCAAATTCACTTTAAATGCTTGACATATAATTTAATACCTAAAAATACTCTAGCTAAATTATCTGATAATATTTATAGAATGTTACTTCTCTGGATAGACATGTCTCACACAACAGTTTTCTACTAATCCTGAAAAAAAAGAAAACACTTGATAATTGTAATCACTATTGATTGACTAATGGATTAACAGTTTATTCAATAACACAGATGGCAGTGGACCAAGAAAGTTAATAATCTGATAATAATTGCTCACTGTGCAATTCTGCCCATTAGAAATACTAAGCCAAGGACTTGATATATTTGATATATATTCCACTCAGCTGCATTACATGTTTCTGTATGTTATTTGATCAACAAGAAAACAGGTACAAAATGTCAAACTTTCTTCCTCTCCTCTTCTATCTTCTAAAGCAGCTCAATGATTTTTGGGGACTGGTTAGTACAATACAGAGAACATAAGGGGAAAAGTTCAAAATGGCACTTACCACCAATGCCAGTACTCATGTCATTATGGCTATATTTAAGGATATTATTAATTTTTGTGTTATTCACTATTCTTTAGACATAAGTCAAAGCCATTAACTTGAACTTGAGGTATATACACAATACATATGCAACCTTACACAAAATACTTTTCATAAGTAGCATTACATTTTAAAATATTGGAAACTGAGTATCTGTGCTGATTTGTACTCTGACTTAATGGAACAAAAAGAAAGTAACATTCAACTAGGGAGGGTTATACTGATGATAAAGTTCCCAAACTTAAAATTGTCTTCCTCTCCCTTTGTACTTACCACAGGCTACACAATGTCCTGAGAGGATTCATTATGAGAAAAATGTCAATCACAGCTTTAAGACCTTACTTTGGAAGGAACTAATGAGAAACCAAATTGGAAGGTGAGACTTCATCTTTGTTTTCAAATAAGTGGTCTTAATTTGTCTTCTTATAGAAAAAGTTTAAATCAGTTTATTATAAATATACCTAAACCATTAATTTTTGCAGCTTTCAGGTAAAGTCCAGCACTTCGTTTATACAAAGTCTATGAGAAGAGGTCAGTAGAGATCATCTAATCTTAAATCGTGACATCATCCATTCAAGTCCTTGGCACAATCTATAAAGAAAATAAAATCATTGGATTAAATTTTGAACTGAAAATCTGAAAACCAAAAAAAGAAAAATCCCAAACCCATTGCCGCCCAGTCAATTCTGACTCACAGCGACAGAGTAGAACTGCCCCATAGGGTTTTAAAGGCTGTAATCTTTATGGAAGCAGATTGCCACATCTTTATCCTGTAGAGCAGCTGATGGGTTCGAATCGCAGACTTGGGTTAGCAGCTTAACCACTGCGCCCCCAAGGCTCCTTACTAAAAATCTATGAACAGCAAATCAAAAGAAGATATAATTTTACATTTACTTAAACATTAAAGATTTAAAAACCAAGAATATTCAATGCTGGTGCTATTGCAGTGAAATCTTATTTTCATATATACCCACAACACCAGTGTCTTTTTGGCTCTCTGCTATATCTCTAGTACCTAGAACACTGCCTGACACATGAAAGGGGCTCATAAATTATACAATGAATGACTATAGAAACAACTTGGCAATATATAATAAAAACATATATATATAAAATTTCAACCCTATTAAAGCACTTGGCTGTTACCCAAAAGGTCGGTGGTTCGAACCCACCAGCCGTCCCACGGGAGAAAGATGTGGCTGTCTGCTTCCATAGAGATTTATGGCCTTGAAAATCCTATAGGGTCGTGAGAGTCAGAATCGACTTGATAGCAGTGGGTTTGGTTTTGATTTTACCTTTTTTCCATTTCTAGAAATGTATCCTAAGAAAATAATCATGGATGCATACAGATTTACATGTAAGACTACTCATTAAAGCAATTTTAATAGGAAAAAAGCAGAATTTAAATGTCTAGAAGAAGAGGAAAAGCTTAATAAATTATTAAAAACTTTCCTTTCAAAGATTTTCATGATATGGTAAAATGCTCATGATAAAAACGAAGAAAAAAGGCAGGATATCAAACCTAATATATAGTAGGGTTGTTAAATATATAGTAGGGTTGTTCTGTTGTACACAGGGTTGCTATGAGTTGGAACTGACTTGATGGCATCTAACAACAGCATTGTTAAAACACAGTATATACATAATATGTATGTTACAACTATATATAAAAAAAATTAGAAGGAAATAAAATATCTCACATTACTAACATCTAGTTATCACTACACAACAAGTAATTGAACATAATTCAAAATATAGAAAGGGATGTTCATTATAGTAAAAGAAACAAAATGTTTAGCAAGAGAGAAATGGTCATACATATCACATTACAACAATATGAAGGATTTATATGCAGCATTAATAGAATCTATGATGAGCTTTTATAGATAGGAGAAACTATGCTACAATGTTAATTTAAAAAAAACAGATTCAAAATTTTGTTTAAGTATGACTCTAATATTAGAAAAGACAAACACACAAAAATATGACAATGAAGTAAATAGATAATTGTCTTTAATGAGCAGTAGTTACTTAATAGCAAAGAAGAAGCTATGCTAAGCATTTTACATCCATTACCTTAATTAATGTTCACAACACTGAGATTGAAATCATTCCCATATCACAGAGGAAACTCAGCAAATAGTACAAGTAAATCGAAATCGGGCCTACAAAGTCTGTGATTTCCAATCCACTGAACCAAAATGCTGATCAATATTAAAACCAAGAATTTGGATCTTGAGGAGAGAAAGAAAAGCATTTCCCCAACAAATGGAAGTCCACATGAACGAAGATTTGAAAAGATACCATCACCTATTAATTTATTCTTTTAAAAATTCAACTGCCAGAGTTAGTATGTATCCTAATCAATGACAGATTTTCTACACAATTGCTCAACTATCAACATACATAAATTCAATATTATGTGAATCCTAGATAACGCTGTCTTTATTGTCAGATTTAGTACTATAATCAGTGATTTTGCTTAAAGACGTTTGAAAGACAACGATATATATGGATAATCAGTATTATGTGACTTTTTAATGAACAAATTTGCTTTATTAAGGTTCCAATCATGCTCTTCCAAATTGCTGTAAGCAGGTAATAAACAAACAGTTGTTGTTGAGTTGACCTGACTCGTGGTGACTCCATGCATCAGAATAGAACTGTGCTCCATAAGGTTTTCAATGACTGATTTTTTAGAAGTAGATCACTAGGCCTTTCTTCTGAGGTACCTCTCATGGATCCGAAACACCAACCTTTTTGTTAATAGCTAAGTGCTTTAACCATTTGCACTACCCAGAAACACCAATCAGGTGATAGTGCCTTCTACTTCACTGAGTAAGATTCAGCTTCAATGGCTCAGCCTTAGTGGTTCATTCTTCACCACCGTCTTAAAAGAAAGAGAATTTCTCCCACTGTCCTTCAGCTAACTCACCTCTATGCCCTAAGCCTCTATCGTTTCCTAACACCAGAAATTTAGAACTTCTATTTAGAATCCTTCATCTCCAGTTCTTTTTTCTATGCTTTTAAATATATACAGAGCCAACATATTTTGGAAAAACAACTACTTTACTTTAGCTTGCTCCTTCTTTTAGCTTTTTATCCTATTTCTAAAACCTCCTCTATTTCATCTCGTGTCATTCCCCTTCCTGCCAAAACTGCTGTTTCCAAAAATCTACTTCCTCTTTAAACTGCACTTACCCATGTCCACTTTCCCAAGACACAGAATTTGCTTCTGACCCAACTGTCTGATTGAATTTACTCATTTATGGTTAAATTCAATGGTACTCTCTCCATCCTACTAGTCTTTGACCTTACATTTGACCATGCTGACCACTACTTCCTTCTTGAAATCTTTTCACCTCTGAGTACCACACCACGGCAAAATTCAACTGTAATTTCCAACTGTAACTAGAATTTCTACTGCAAATTCAAATACCTCTCATTTGAGAAAGAAGGACCTTCATACCACACTCTCTCCAGTTCTAACTCATTTTGTAAAAAATGTGCAACAACACCCTCTCGACAACACAGGTGGCAAGAGAGACTATCCCCAAACTAGTTTCACACATGAATCCTCTCCTGTTGTATTTCAGCTTCTTTATTCATAAAATGCAAATTGAAAACAACTGGTCTGCAGGATTGTTATGAGGATTAAATGAGACACCATATGGAAAGCACTCAAGACACAGGGCATGCTCAGCAATGTTAGCTCCTTTCTCTAGCTCTCCATGGCACTTCCATTTCTCTGCATGCCTGCAGCAGCCATATCATATACATACTTACATCTCTTAGTTCATGTATGTTTTGTGTGTATTATGTGCATGCTGTGTGTTTTACTCTTTACAGAACCATACTAAAAACTCTGATAGTAGACATGGGCTATGTTTCTCCCTTACAATTCTTTGTACATGGTAGACTTAAATACTTCTTGATTTTAAGAAGAAACATGTTTTTAAGCCAAATACATGTCATCTAAAAGGACGAATTCTTACCCCTCGCCAGTAAGAGCACAGCATGCCTGGATATGCCACTGATGATCTTTAATAGAAGTGAGTTTCAAAAACTGGGAGATTTCTGCTACAGTCATGCATTCTTTAACATCTTGTTTATTAGCAAAAATCAGCAATCCAGCTTTCCTCAGGTCCTATAAAAGCAGACAAAATTGTAAAGGCCAGTTCAATTTTCTATAAATTTTCCAACTTAGTTAACAGAATATTTTCCACAATCTTAGTAACCTAGCATTTCTGAACGACTCAACATAAAAGCACCTCACATCCATCTGCTGGTAATCTTATAAGGTAATCTTAAAACTGAACTGTCCAAATATTTTAAATGAATAAAAGTATACGTGAATGGATTTACATATTTCTTACAATCCTAAATTGCATTTTTTTTTTTTATGGTCCTAAGTGCTATATTTAGAAAGAGTCACACCTTCAAATGCCTACAGTTAAAGAAGTCTAGAAGAGCAATCATACAGTCCTGGTTCTGCCATTAGCTTAGTGCTACAGCCTAACTACTTTACCTCAAAGAGCCACTGTGAAATACGTACTTGGAAGAAGTACAATGTCTGTATAAAAATGTTGTAGTGATTTAAAAAAATTGCTTAAGGAAGATTTCTTCTTTTCCATTCTCATTTCTACTAGTAATCCACTTAGGCTGAGGTTATTGCAATAGTTTCCTAGTTGTGTAGTTCTCAATCTGGCACCATGCACACAGAATTTGCTCATAAATAGCTACAATGCTTCAAGTCTCCACTTGTTCCTGTCTTGTACACTTGTGATCAAGGTAAATCTTCCAGAAATAACAGACTTATATATCCACCCTTATTCCCAATCCCAAACTAGGTTTACATGGTTCCCAAGAAATACTCTTTAACATGGCACTCAAGAGTTTCCCAAAATTCTACCCCAACCTATACTTTTTGCCTTACCTTACATAATTCTACAGCCATACTTCGTTTTATTGTGCTTCACAGATATTGCATTTTTTTACAAATTGAAGGTTTGTGGCAACCCTGTGTCAACCTCTATTGGAGTCATTTTTCCAACAGCATGTGCTCACTTCGTGTCACCGTGTCATATTTTAGTAATTCTCACAATATTTCAAACTTTTTAATTATTATTATATCTGTTATGGTGATCTGTGATCAGTGATTTTTGATGTTACTATTGTAATTGTTTTGGGGTGCCACAAACCATGCCCACATAAGATGGCAAACTTAAATGATAAATGTTGTGTGTGTTCTGACTGCCCCACTGACCAGTATCCCCCCCATCTCCCTCCCTCTCCTCAGGCCTCCCCATTCCCTGAGACACGACAATATTGAAATTAGGCCAATTAATAATCCTATGATCACCTCCAAGTGTTCAAGTGGAAGAAAGAGTCCCACGTTTCTCACTTTAAATCAAAAGCTAGAAATGATTAAGCTTAGTGAGGAAGGCATGTCAAAAGCCAAGACAGGCCAAAAGCTAGGTCTCTTGTGCCAAACAGTTAGCCAAGTTGTGAATGCAAAGGAAAAGTTCTTGAAGGAAATTAAAAGTGCTACTCCAGTGAACATACAAATGATACGAAAGCGAAACAGCCTTATTGCTGATATGGAGAAAATTTTAGAAGGTCTAGATAGAAGATCAAACCAGTCATAACATTCCCTTAAGCCAAAGACTAATTCAGAGCAAGACCCTAACTCTCTTCAATTCTATGAAGGCTGAAAGAGGTGAGGAAGCTGCAGAAAAAAAGTCTGAAGCTAGCAGACTTTGGTTCATGAGGTTTCAGGAAAGAAGCCATCTCCATAACATAAAAGTGTAAGGTGAAGCAGCAAGTACTGATGCAGCAGCTGCAGCAAGTTATCCAGAAGCTCTACCTAAGATAATTGATGCAGGTGGCTAAACTAAACAACAGATTTTCAATGTAGACAAAACAGGCTTATATTGGAAGAAGACATCATCTAGGACTTTCATAGATAGAGAGGAGAAGTCAATGCCTGGTTTCAAAGCTTCAAAGGACAGGCTACTCTCTTGTTAGGGGCTAATGCAGCTGGTGACTTTAAGTTAAAGTCAATGTTCATCTACCATTCTGAAAATCCTATGATCCTTAAGAATTATGCTAAATCTACTCTGCCTGTGCTCTATAAATGGAACAAGCCTGGATGAAAGCACATCTGTTTACACATGGTTTACTGAATATTTTAAGCCCACTGTTGAGATCTATTGCTCAGAAAAAAAGACTCCTTTCAAAATAATACTGCTCATTGACAATGCCCCTGGTCACCCAAGAGCTCTGATGAAGATGTACAAGGAGATTAATCTTGTTTTCATTTCTGCTAATATGGCATCCATTCTCCAGTTCATGGATCATGGAGTAATTTCAACTTTCAAGTCTTATTATTTAAAAATACATTTCATAAGGCTATAGCTGCCACAGATAGTGATTCCTCTGACAGATCTGGGCAAAGTACACTGACGCCATTGAGAACATTTGTGATTCATGGGAAGAGGTCAACATACCAACATTAATAAGAATTTGGAAGAAGCTGATTCCAACCTTCATGGATAACTTTGAGGGGTTCAAGGCTTTTGACGCATTTCAATGGCAAATCTGCTGCAAAAGACCTTTTTAAAGTGTTAAAAAGCAAAGATGTCACTTTGAAGACTAAGGTGCGCCTGACCCAAGCAATGGTGTTTTTAATCGTCTAATATGCATGCAAAAGCTGGATGAAGAATAAGAAAGACTAAAGAACGGATGTCTTCAAATTGTGTTGGCAAAGAATATTGAATATACCACGGACTGTCAAAAGAGCAAACAAATCTGTCTTGGAAGAAGTACATAAACAGAATGCTCCTTAGAGGCAAGGATGGCAAGATTACATCTTACATACTTTGGGCATGTTATCAGGAAGGATCAGTCCCTGGAAAAGGACATCATGCTTGGTAAAGTAAACAGTCAGCAAAAAAGAGGAAGAACCTCAACGAGATGGACTGACACAGTGGCTACAACAACGGGCTCAAGCATAACAACAATTGTGAGGATGGCACAGGACTGGGCAGTGTTTCGTACACTGGGTCACTATGAGTCAGAATTGACTCAACAGCACCTAACAACAACAAGACTTCAGTGGAGGAAGTAACTGCAGATGTAGTGAAAACAGCAAGAGAACTAGAATTAGAAGTAGAGCCTGAAGACGTAACTGAATTGCTGCAATCTCATAATAAAACTTTAATGGATGAGGAGTTGCTTCTTATGGATGAGCAGAGAAAGTGGTTTCTTGAGATGAAATCTACTCCTGGTGAAGATACTGTGAACATTTGTTGAAATGACAACAAAGGATTCAGAATATTACATAAACTTAGTTGATAAAGCAGCGGCAGGTTTTTAGAGGACTGACTCCAATTTTGAAAGAAGTTCTACTGTGGGCAAAATGCTATCAAACAGCATCGCATACTACAGAGAAATCTTTCTTGAAAGGAAGAGTCAATAAATGCAGCAAACTTTACTGTTGCCTTATTTTAAGAAATTGCCACAGCCACCCCAACCTTCAGCAACCACCACCCTGATCAGTCAGCAGCCATCAACATCGAGGGAAGACCCTCCACCAGCAAAAAGATTACAAGTTGCTGAAGGTTCAGATGATGCTTAGCATTTTTAAACAATAAGGTATTTTTTTAATTAAGGTATGTACATTTTTTTTAGACAATGCTATTGCACACAATAGACTACAGTATAGTGTAAACATAACTTTTATATGCAGAAACCAAAAAATTCACGTGACTCACTTTATTGGGATATTCACTTTATTGCAGTGTTCTGGAACCAAGCTTGCAATATCTCCGAGTATGGCAGTATATTCTCTGCTTTAATCTGCAATCTATCTACTCTTCTCTAAACGGTTTTAGGCATTCTTACCTCTATATTGTTGTTGAAATGTTTCTCCTGGACACATTCTCTTCCCTTCAATCTCCTAAACCAGCCCTTCTTAAATAGGGTTCCATAAGAGACTTAGGCGCTACAGAAATAACCTAAATGACTATATCACAAGTTTCCCAATGACGTACATAGCTAGAACCTTCTAGGTGCATAAGAAATAGGTTACTTCCTTACATACGATTTATGCCTTAGGGTCATAGGGCTTAATTCTAAACTGAGAAGGGCCATCCTAAACCAATTTTATTCATTCTTTCAGACATAGGACTCCTCTTTGTCCATAAAAATTTCTTAGATTTGAATATGCAGTGATGAGGCCTTCTTGGATTAGCATTAAATTGATCAGATTTCCCCAATTAGACAGTAAGTTCTACCATTTCTATGCTATGACTCGGAGGCAAGTTCTTTAATCTTTCTAATTTGTTCCTCATAACTAGCATTTATTGTTTAATCTGAGCAAGACACCCATCACACTAACCATTTCTCAAATACAATCTCTGTAATCCTCACAAGATTCCTACAAGGTTGGTCTTACCAGTGAAGAAACTAAGACTCAGAGACTAAGTAACACATACAAGGTGACCCAGCTACTCAGTAATAGAGCCAGGTTTGAGCTGAGAGCTTCCCACTATAGCTGCTGTTCCTCATCTGTAAAATGCTGAGACCCCAACCCATCTCCTGGTTTGAATGCATGAGTTATGATACTCACTCAGTTCAGTGCCTGGCTTTTGGTGACAGTTCAACAAATGTTAGTTCACTTATTGTATTAAAGATGAGAATCATCTCATCCTTGTGCATACCCTAAAATGACTAGTATAATGTTTTATTCACAAGGAAGACCAAAAATTCTTAGCCTCCTTCACTCATGGCACTCTCCACACTTTTTTGTTTAAAGCCAGGAACTTCCTTGATAATCAGTTGAAAGCTATGGGACTTTTCCTTATAAAAATACATATTTAGCAAATGAGAATGAAGAACACCAAAGACACAAGGAAAATATTAGCCCAAGAGACAGAAAGGGCCACATAAACCACAGACTCCATCAGCCTGAGACCAGAAGAACTAGATGGTACCCGACTACCACCAATGACTACCCTGACAGGGAACACAACAGAGAGTTCCTGACAGAGCGGGAGAAAAGTGGGGCGCAGAACTCAAATTCTAGTAAAAAAACCAGACTTAATGGTCTAAGACTGGAGGGACCCTAGAAGACATGGCTCCCGG